TCCGCCAAGGCGAGCCGGGAAGAAGATGATATGGTCGCTCCGAAGGCCCTTGTGCAGCCAGTTTTTCTTGTGAATGTCCAAGAGCGTTCGCGCCAGCGCCAGCGCGAGACGGACTCGATCGCCGGCGAGAGGGTGGGACGTGTTGTACGCTTCGAACAGGGAAATAAACTCGATGCCATTTCCTGATGATAGAGAGGATGGGATAGCGACGCATTCGGGTGGCAGGTGGTAGACAAAGTAGAATTGGGCTGTGGCCTGGTCATCGTACCAGCCTTTGCACTTGAGGAGATGCGAATTGCTATCGGCAGCAGGCTCGAACCCATGCAGGACTCGGGCGAGCTCCTTAATCCGATCGTATACCTTAGAGCCGGCCTTGTTGTCGGGGTTGCTGGCGTAGTCCTTTGGTTCGAGCAAGACCAATTCCGGCAAGTCCGTGTGGCGGCTCGTGTGCCAGGCGAGACGCAAGCCGTTTGCATCGACGGCCGGCGAGGCTCTGTAGGTGCCGGAGCTGCGCTCGGTAATTTCTTGTTTTCGGAGATCAATACTGTTTTCCATTCTGCCAGCAATTGAATGTTTTAGCGATGACTGACAGCTTCAACGAGAGAGACAAACGAACGGATGGAGTTGGGATTTCCTGCTGAGCGTGAAACCTAGACAGAGTCTTGCCAGAGGCTGCTTCAACAAGCCGCACTTTGGGAATGAGGGGAAAATCCCGCGGCTGCCTAGCGCGACGCAGATGCTTGTCACTCTTAAGGGGCTGGCTGAGGGAACGCCCCAATTGGACGCGGTGATGGCTGGCAGACCACCGGCTAGCGACGCCGTGCAGTGAGGCTGGGTGCCGTCACCCTGAAACTGACCTTCCCCAAAATCACATTATCTTGTCACAAACTTTTCTAAAAGAAAAAGAACATAGAGAAATTGAAAAAATAAAAGAAGAAGGAAAAGGGAAAAGGGAAAAGGGAAAAGGGAAAAGGGAAAAGGGAAAAGGGAAAAGGGAAAAGGGAAAAGGGAAAAGGGAAAAGGGAAAGGGAAAGGGGAAAGGGAAAGGGAAAGGGGAAAAGAGATACGCAAGGCAATCATTCATTCAGTTCTATTTAATTTAGGACTAAATATTTTATGAGCTCCACTCCTTGATATCGAAACAAATCACAATGTAAACGGAACGAAGTTTTCAACGGGCTTTTTTGCCCAAGAGATTTCCCATAGCGCGATGAAGGAGCAGCCGAGTAAACCCACTATCATAATCAGCGATTGCACACCGCTTCTAAGATGCAACCAAGGTGAGTACGGCAAAGTTGCTTTGATCGGAGCCCGTACTACTGCGCCTTATCGGTTTCGTTCGTACCCAGCGCGGTCAAAGTGAGAGACTGTCTGCCAATTTGAAATGGATTTATAGACAATTCTGCTCTGAGCGCGGGATTTTTCTGCGAATACTCGTAAACGTGGTTGGATCCACGCGTGGAAAGACTAATCCGGGCCATACATGGGCAATGCCAATGGCGAGCGTTGCAGAGGCCATGTGGAGGTCAAAAAGATGAGTGACGTATCAAATGGAGACGATGACATCGACGCCGATTGAAAATATGTCGAGAATGGCTGATTCGAGGAGTCGAGTCATTGGGCTGGCTTGTTCGACAGACTTGACTAACTCCCCCGTGCCCTTGTGTGCTGTGGAAGTCCATCGACAGCCTCATGACGTGACGGAAGGCAAGGTCACAGATCCCCTTGTACGAATGATTCCGCACTTCCTCCAGTGCAAATTGTTTTATCCATTCCAATCCAACCAGACTGTCGAGCCACCTCCAGACTATCCTGACTAGCACCTCCCTCCATGGCAGAATCTTGAGGGCCAGTCTGTCTATTATAATGCCGAGCTGTCGAGGAATGAAGACCAATACATTTCTGCGAGTGCCAGCTTATCACCGATGATGCATTATAACTCCGATACCCTCTTCGTTCAAGTGGTTGGTTCTATTATGTTCCGTAATCACTGGCCGGACTATTAGCTCAGCCCAGGAATGAGCCTTCCAACCGCATGTCTTGGCCGTTTCCAATTCGGCATGTCACCGTTACAAGGGATGGAGTTACATCGACTCTAAACGCGGCTTTGTCTTTCATCAAAGTGTGCGGGCCCTGGTTTGGGCTATGACTAGCCTCCCTGCTATCATCAAAGCTTGATATTCTCAGTCCTTTCTTACATCCTTCAGGCAAATGACTTTGGCAGGACGAGCGAGCGAGTGCATATAAACACTCTTTCCATCGTCCAAGATTGTGATGTTGTGCACGCACATTGATCCTCTGCTTCTCCCTCAACGACATGGGCTTCACCCCAGCTCAAGCACACACCAACCTTGCCAAGTATCGCATTCTGTCACCAAAAATGTAGACTGCGCGTTTCCCCATTACGGCTCGGGGCCAAGTTGTATCGGCGATGCCTGGAGCAAGAAAATGGGGCCCTTAAGCAAAGAGGGGGCATTTGAGCTCCTCGATGCATTCGTCGCCGCTGGCGGCAGCTTTATCGATACCGCAAGCAACTACAGTACAAGCAAAGTGAGAAATGGATTGGCGAGTGGACGGCGGCTCGCAAAGCCGCGACCAGTTCATCATCGCTACGAAGGTACGCCTTCCATCGCAACATGTCTACCGAACGTTGTTAGTGCTTACACTCTGCAGCATACGACGGACTACCAAACCTACGCAGTTGGCAAGAATAACGCGCTCAACGCCGTCGGCAACTAGAAGCGCAATATGTTCTTCAGCCTGCGGGACTCACTCGCTAATCCATAAACTGACTGGATCGACATTTTGTACCTACATTGGTGGGAGTACACCACAATCATCGAAGAAGCCATGGACGGGCTCGATATTTTGGTTAAGCAAGGGAAGGTTATGTATCTCGGCATCTTAGACACGCCCGCTTGAGTCGTGTCCGCTGTCAATACGTACGCCCCAGCCTAGGGAAAGATGCCTTTCGTCATTTACTAGGGCCGCTGGAATATCATGGTCTGAGAACTAGAGCGTGAGATCCTACCCATGGGGCGCCACTTTAGTGTGCCCATTGCGCCGTGGGATGTGTGGGGTGGGGGGAAGTTTAAGAGCAAGGCTCAGGCCGAGTAGCGCCGGAATGATAGTAGCCGACGAGCATCTTAGCGTTTCTATATCAAAAAGATTTCATAATCTAAAGAACGAAATAACCACTATCTATTACTAATTAATATTTTATAGTATTAATTTGGAGAGTAGTGTTACGGTTTTCATATGCAGCTAATAGTGGGGCGGCACAGTTGCTTGAAGCGGGACCGCCTCAGCTAGTCATTACCGACAGGGAGTCAACCAATCAAAAGGACCCGGGCAGGGAGACAAGACACACCGGGTCCTGAGCCGGAAGGAACCAATCAAGAAGGACCCGGAGTCTGAGAGACCCGGAGCCGGGTCCCCAATGGGCCGGGTCCATTGGTGTACACAGACTATATAAGCAGTTAGGCTGAGCCTCCCTTAAGGAGCTCCACACACAGAGTGTCTGAACTGCAAGGCGGTACGCCGTGAGTTGGATGGTTGAGTCACGTAGGGAAGGTAAGCTCCTTGAACAAGGTCGATTGAGAGTACTGATACACACGTGTGGAATGCCTTCACAAGCAATGAAGTAGATGAATGTGTATTGCTTACTTGCCGAGCTCCATAAGGGAGGCTCGGCCTAATTGTTTACATAGGCTAAGTCGCTCTGTCTGCTCTGTCAACAGAGCAGAGGGAGCGACTTCCTGATTGGTCGTCGCAGTGCTCTGTGTGCTCTCTTGATAGAGCACTCAGAGCATCTCCTAATTAACCGATCCAAGAGTGACAGGATTGGTTGGCCCGTTCCCAGGGCCCCACCTCGATGCATGCCAAGATCGCAAATCGTGACATGTGAGGATCTGGATCCTCGTCTCAGGGTTTGGGGTGAGGTTCAAGGGGGTGAGTGGTCGCACTCAGTAACCAAGGGTAGATAGAGTTTCAAAGAGTAAATAGATGCTTGCTGAACCACTATTCAATTGCAAAGACTAAACTGCCTACTTTGGTTGATAGCTAAAGAACCACAAAGCTTCTCCAGCTCTCATCATTCTGTAGAACCAACATGGCCCTGTTGCTGTGACTATGGCCCCCTTGGGTTGGGTCCCTCCCTTGTGTAACCAGGGCCACTTGGTCCGTGCGCCAGCTCATGCGGGGCACCCGCATGAGCCTTTGCAGGCCCCGCAACCCTCCTCCAATGAGGATCGTGACACGATGCCCCCTCCTTCAAGGGCTTCGTCCCGAAGACCGGCTGCCCGGTTGGGTTCTACTCTTTCTCTTCCGCCATCATTCTATCGAACCCCAGACCCAGTAAGTAACCTCCTCCATCTTTACTGAAAATGCCTCCCGTACGCAAGCGTCGTTCTGGTCACCAGCGCCGCCAGCGTCTTGCTGCCGTTGCTAACTTCTCAGGCTCCAAAATGCCCAAGTATTCTCGTTGCCGTGATCGCAGTCTTACCTGCAAAGCGTCGCCTTCTGCCACCAAGTGTGGCAATCGCACCAAGTCCCAGTCTTCCTGTGACCTCGATGGTCCTGACTGTGCGTTCCTCCTTTCCCGCCGTTTCTCTTTCCGCGCTGACCGCCATGGGGTCTGCGTTCAAATCTCAAATGGAGCTCCTCAAGTCCCCAGAAGCCCAGGCTTTTGCCGAGCTTTCCCGGGCCCAGGCCAAGCTCATGCGCCTGCGCCGTCAACAGGAGGCTCTCCAAGAAAAATTCGAGAAGGTCTTGGTCAATGAGACCCTGGCGATCGCCGAGTTGGACGAGGAGGAGGCCGTCGCGGCTTCCTCGAGTGCCCCCGGCGCCCGCTGCTCCGGAGTTCTCCACCCCTGATCTTGATTGGGCTGCCCTCGATCCTTCCCTACTGGAGGGTCTCGGGATGGCGGCTCTTTCTCCTGTAGCTCCTTCGGAGTGTAATGACGGTGGTTTCCGTTCTCGTGTTTTAACAAATGAAATTTGGGTTGCTGGCGCAGTGGTTAGCGCATCCGACTTCCGTCGAACGGGCAATCCTCAGTTTTGGGCTGGGGATTTCCCGTTCGGTGTTCAGGAGGTTGTGGGTCCGAGTCCCACGCGGCTCATCTTTTTGGTTTATCGGGGTTCTTTTGATGGAACTCCTTTTTCTTTTCTTCGTAGTTTAGTAGGTTAGCCGAGGGCTCCTAGCTATTGTCCGCCGAAGGGTAGCTCTCCTACTTAACGAAGTATTAAGCCCCTCGTCCGACTTTCTGTGACGATCTGGATCCTCGTCAAGGGGTACGGGGTGAGGCTCAAGGGGGTGAGTGGCCACACACAGTAACCAAGAGTGGATAGAGTATCAAAGAGTAAATAGATCGCTTGCTGAACCACGGTTCAATTGCAAAGACTAAACTGTCTACTTGAGTTGATAGCTGAAGAACCACAAAGGCTCTTCAGCTCTCTGGTTTATATACATCATGGTGGCCCCCTTGCTTCATTTGCTTGTGAAGGCATTCCACACGTGTGTATCAATACTCTCAACCGACCTTGTTCAAGGAGCTTACCTTCCCTACGTGACCCAACCACCCAACCCTTGGCTTACCGCCTTGCAGTTCAGACACCCTGCGTGTGGATTGTAATATCTTAAACTTTGCTATATAGTAGCTATACTACGGGGTAGGTAATAGTTCGATTGCCACTGACCCAAGTACGGACCGTTCAACTCATTACTATTTTGCCATTATTTCCCAGTGTCTCCTCTGCCGTACTGACACTCCACCTTCCGCCCGTCATGCAGTCTCGGCTTGCAATTGCCCAAACAATTGCAGCCACAAAGACGGTTCAAGCTGCCGATACTATGCGGGCCCCTCTGACAGTTCGCAAGTCATTCATGGCGGTGTGTGGCCCACACATCTTAACGATCACATGGACTGCTAATTTCAGCCGTCAGTTATAAGTGTACACTCGCGTTAACGGCACCTTGAAATATATCGCAACGTAGGGACAAATCTATTAGTATCAGCGATTTGAAAAAGAGGGAAAAGGAAGAGTTAGGGCGGTGTTTGAAATACGAAGGCAGGTTAAAAGGTTTAAGACAAAAGATATTGTACTACAACGAATAGTTCTGAATTGCTCTGAGAAACAAAACATGTCCCACCATATTCTACATTGAGGTCACCTCACGAATTGGCTCCAGGATCTGGGAGGGGAAAACACGTCGATTGTCAAGACTGGCGTGGAAGGCGGCAGTACGATCTACTCACCCATGTACCTAGATACTAGCAAGCCACCAGTTCTTTGAAGAAAAAAACCTCCCAAAATAAAAACAGTGGCCAGGTTCTGGATGTGGGGAATGAGACGCTGGGGGCAAGAAAAAAGAAAGAACAGCAAATCTGTTCCTAAGAGTTAACTGATTCCTTCCCCGTCTCCCTTCCCACGGCCACAAGGCATGGCTAGTCACTAGGCCATGATAGCCCGTCTAGCTCCAACAGGCGAGCCGGCCGCGCTCGTGCTTCTCTTCTCCTCATCAGGCAACGTGATGGGCGTGATGGGCCCGTAGCCTTCGTCGGGAATCCGGGGCTCAACGGGCGCCGTATCGACCCCGATGTCCGTATCGTTGCTCGGGGCTTCTCTCCAGGTGCAGCCGATCTCAGTCCACTGGCTGTACCACATGCCGCCGGCGCTCTGATCCTCGGGACCTCTGATCCACTGGTAGTAGCTTCGCGCGAGGCACCGCTTGCTGCCGCCGTTGACCCTGAAGTGGCCTCGCGAAGCGCCCCAGTCGAAGCACATCTCGCTGATGCCCGGGACAGTCCAGTAAAAACATCCCTTGGTAACACAAAGGTAGGCAGTCGGTCGGTCAGTGAATTGCCCGATTGGAAAGGCCAGGGACATAGGTAGGTAGGTACTAGTAGGGCAGACTTACATCGTTGATTTCTCGATTAACGTAGTTCCAGCCATCCTCGTGGTGAAAGACTCCTCGCGTGTTGAAGTACTGCGAGACGCCTTCCACCCAGATTGCGGCAGCTGCATGGAAGGTGGCGAGGCCAATAGCAATAGCGTTGAACCGCATCGTGGTTGTATTCTTGCAAAAGCTGTCAGTTTTGTGGGCAAAAAAGGGGGAAGAAATGAGTAAGTACTACGTGCTTGGAGATTCGAGCCAGGAAGGCCGGATGGGATGTTTGAGAAGGGATAGATGGGCGATGATGAGAGAGGGAACTGCAATCTAACTAGAAAACATGGGATTTAAATACTTTTCTGAAGCCATGTAAAACTAGGCATTCCCTCGTTTTGGTTTTTGCCGACTTCAACCTCATCTCTAGCCAATGTTGTTAGTCTGCACCGTCATGTCAAAGTCCCACCCCAACAGAAGAAAGTTGTGCCCAAGATAGGAACCGAACCGTGCCGTACAGGCCGTGCTCATGCCATGATGGCTCTCGTCAAGATGGAGGATCCGAACCGATCCCCAATGCAGTTAAATAGCCCAAGTTGCACACTGCGAGGACAGTGGATTTTGGTCGCGTTTTTTAGTGATTCAGATGGACTCAGCAGGACCGTCGTCATAATTCGCACCAACCATCACCTTGAACCCCTTCAAGACCATGTGTGGACCGTGTATGGCGTTGAAGAAGCAGAACACACAATTATGAGAACGGGAAATGCAATATGAAGTCTTTTTGGCACAGTGGTGGTAAATCACCTTGAGAGGTACCTAACCCCTGAGTGGTGACAGAATAACGTATCATCTGACTCTTGGAAGTTTGGTGGGTGGCAAGGGGCATATTTCGTACAGCACATACAGTGTGCAAACCCTCCTACGCCCCCTGACGCCACTGTACCGTCTGTGCAGATTCCTTCCAGATTATTGCATACGAGACCCATAGGAAAAAAAACCCAACTGTATACCTATCCTCTGCGCGATGGACCCAACAGCTGCCAACGGCCACCAACAAACGCCGCCCCAACCGCCCTGGCTGCTACGCATACATGCCCAGCCACCAAAAAAGTGGCCGTCCGTCCTCATAAACAAATCTTGCCTCGCCCATAACAGACATAAAATGCACCGCTAAGCACGTTGCACGGCAGCGGTCAGCGAGGGGATACTTGTCCTTCAGCTCGTGTCTATACGTCTTTAACGCTACTCTCTGCCCATAATCCTCGCCAACGGAACCAACTTCAGCCTTGGCATCAGCTGAAGTCCCAGTTTAGAAAGGAAATATTGAAGTTTTGAACCAACTACATTATATCCATGCCAATGATGTTGCAATAAAAACTAGGTAGGTAGGCAGCAGAATAAGACGGATGTCGGCCATTTAAACTTGAGGCCTCTGTGAGTGTTCAAATCAGGGGCATGCGAGGAGGTCCAACTCCGACTCGGAGAACATGGGTTCATGGATGGACCCGGATAGCTTTTGGACACTAACACAACACTTAGCACCAGCCAACATTTTCCGAGACGGAATTCGAAATCCGGCAGTCCGATGCTTCTTTAAAATTGATTAGAATGGTATGAAGTTTTTTCATCGCATAATTCAAGGCGTCTTTGTCGGAAATGATACCCAATGCTTTGTCGAGCTTCACTCAGATACGAACCGCGAAGCGCTCGCTCACATCGTCACATCGTGTCTTCCCCATCCCACTCATACAAGCATGCATTTCTATATACAGTTCGGAGCATCATCGCCTGATATGCCATGGCAAAGCTGGCTAGCATCTAGCAGGGGTCCCTAGGATTTACATGCGCCAATGACAAAACATCCAACATCAGGAAGGATAACAAAGAGATTCGCGAAAGACAAACAGCCGCCCCAGAATCAAACTCAACGAAAGGTGACTTGAAATTCATCAACACGAGCAATCAATGGCGTTTCTTTACCCAATCATAGCTTGCTGTTAGCCTTGTTGTTGGTGTTTCCAGTGTTGGCCTTGTTGCCTGCATTGGCAGTATTCCCGGTGTTGGCAGTGTTGGCAGTGCCGGCGTTGGCGTTTCCCTTGTTTCCTTTGCTCCTCCCGCTGGCCTTGGTAGTAGTGGTAGCAGCAGCGGCAGCCGTGGTCGTGCTAACCAGGCCAGCTGCCGAATCCGTGACAGGAGTGGCGACTGCACCAGCACCACCAGCCGCGCCGCCGTTAACGCCAAGTGGCGTCGTGGTGGGAGATGCCTTGGTGACGACGCTGTCGCCGAGGATGGCCTTCACGGCTGCGGCATTCTGCTCGGCCTGCGTGCTGCCGGCGTCCTGGTTTGCCTTGATGGCCTTGGGCAAGTCCTGGATATTGACGGCAACCTGGCCGAGCACGCCGTCCAGCGGGTCGGCTGTTGCGATGTTCTCGGGCGTGTTGACTTTGGGGGTGGTGTCGATCTGCTGGACGGCGAAGCATCCGCCAAAGGGGCCGGCAACGGCATTGTTGCGGCAACGCACGGTGCAAATGTCGCCTGTCGAGGCTGTTGGGATGGTGTGTCAGCAGAAAGTGAAGAAGAGGATGTGAAGGGGAGATGTACAAACCTCCAGTGCAGGTGAACTTGTCTGGCATTGTCACTGTGATGTTGAAGTCCTGCGCCTTGGCCTGCGAAAGCCCGTTGACGCCCGGTACGTTGTTGGTGACGGTTAGGTTCTGGCTGATAAGGCCCGAGTTGCTCGTCTCGTCTAGATCGCAGACGTATGGCCCCGCACCGTCGGCATTGACCTGGTGGATGGTGACAGTAATCTTACTTCCCGACTTGACCTGGGTCACAGCGTTCGCGGCGAGGGCATTCTCAGTGTTCTCTCCGATGTCGATGTTTCCAGCAAGTTGTGTCCGCCCGCACTTGTTCACCACGTTGGCGAGAATCTCGGCGTCCCGGATGATGGTGGCATCCAGTTGGCATGGGCTGATAGTCGTGCAGTTCCTCGCGATGCCCTCGTTGACTTGGAATCCGACCGATGGCGGGGATCCCGACTCTCCCTGCGCGCCCAGAATCACACCGTGGGCCTCAGCAAGGGCGAGGAATGCCGCCAGCGGCAGAGCGCAAGACAGATGCATGATGGCGAAAGGGAGTGAAGATATGAACAAACAAAGATGGCCAGTAATTACAACGAAGGGGGAGGCACAGCCTGGAGGAAACAAGAAGAAAAAAAAGAGTGGAAGAAAC